ATATATGGATGGGTTGGTGATAGCATCCTTCCCTTATCAGCAAGCAGTAAATAAAACATGCTGCCTATGATGTAAGAGAAAACAAACTTTCATCAATATTAGTAGCTACTTGAGAGCCTTCTCTTTCACAACTATATTCAATCCATTTAGTCATCAGAATTGTCACTGATAATTTGTCAATGGCAGATTTCAGTTTAACTATACTTTTTTTTTTTTTTGGTTGGGGTGGAGATAGGAGAACCACCTGCAGAGAAACTCCAGTCCTGGGGTGGGATGGGGGGATTTTCTTTGAAAACATTTGTGCCATATATCAATGAATTGCTGTAGCCTGTTGTCATAGCAGATCTTCAAATCCCCATTTTGTTTTGACTTTTACTATATCTTTTCCAATTCTGTAATAACATCTTTAAAATTCATTGACCAGGATTGAGCGTAATACTCCAGATATAGTCTTAACAATAAAGTTACATATTACATTATAATATCAGATAGATTTAATTAGGTCTAATGATTCAAGGCATGGAATATAGTTCTAACAGCAGCTGCACAGAGTTGATATTGCCATCAAGCTCTCCAGTGTGAGTCTACAGTCCTTTCCCTTATCAATCACTGTCAACAGTGCTCCCACTACATTTATGATACTTTGTATACCAGATGTATTACTTAAGGTGATTTATGACTCTGAATTTTATTTTTAAATTTGATGGCTGCTCAGATACATTGGATTGGGGTGGAATTCAACCGGTATTACTACCGGTTCGGTACTTACGTTTTGCTGTGTGCACGTGTAATACCACGAAAGCTGTGCCGCGCAAAGCAGCTGAGGTTGAAAAAGCAGGAAATAAAGGTCATGTAAGAGCCCAGGTGGGCGGGCGGGCCAAACAGCTACAGAACACAGAACCGGTTTGGTGTCTGCTGCTCTTCAGAGCTACCGGTTCTATAGAGCTGGGCAGAACCGGTAGCATCCCACCCCTGCATTGGATCCTTTAGCGCTTTTATAGAACCTTTATTTTGTCATCCTGAACAATGTGATATCATGGTCACCTCACTGCTCATCCTGAACTCCAATTCACGTACAACACATTAACAATAGTTGGTTCCAATGCCAATCCTTGAGAGGCCTACCAGTGCTACAACTGGTTGACCTATCCTCCTATCTCCTGGCCATTGAATTTCTCAGGAGCCTTTGTTGAGGTATTTTATAAAACATCAGGTATATTTCCCTTGTCAGCCTGCCTTTCTCACCTTCACCAAAGTCTAGGTGATTAATATTGTGGAAGCTATATTGGTTTCTTTTCCGTCAAATTAACTGCTCTATTTGATCTATATATATATAAAAGTGAAATACCACTCACACATCATCACCAAATCTCCAGAACCATAAAGCCTACAAACTTGAAATTTGGCACATGTGTTCCTCTTGGCTTCTAGTGCTCACTAAGAAAGGATTTTTCGAAATGACCATCAGAGCATTAGTATTTGGTATATTATTATTAACATGCTTTGATGCTAAGGAGTTCTACTCCCCCTACCCACCTGAAAAGAAATCTGTTCCAAATGCAAAACACAAGCAGAGGAGAAGCGTTTCAGTTTTAGTTTCACAGCACCAAGCAGCTTTAGTACAGAACAGTTGAGCTAAGCCATGCCCAGGCTCCTTGCTCAGATAGACATAAGACATAAGAATTTATTTGTCATTACACTCGCAAGCGGGTGCAACAAAATGAGGTGCTCTTCCACAAGTAAAACTGGACAAACACCACTAAAAAAGAAAAAGAAAAAAAATTAAACTAAACACAACCAACCATACAATCATCTCTATGCAATTTAAAAATGTAAATACCCCATTACTCTCAGCCATTAAACTCCACAAAAATCTTATGACCCCGCATTCAAACTCAAAACTGCACTTGGATAAAAACTGTTCTTAAATCTGGTCGTCCTTGTTCTTAATACCCTAAATCTCCTTCTCAATGGTAATAGTTCAAAGAGCTGATGTCCTGGATGAGAGGAGTCATTCAATATGTTAAGTATCTTCCTCCTACATCTGTTCCTATACAGTTCTTCCAAAGAGGGGAATGAGCAGCCAATGATGTTTTGGGCCGTCTTGATCACCCTCTGAATTGCCTTTTTCTCTGCCACTGTGCAGCTCGAGAACCATACACAGAGACAGTAGGATAATATACTCTCAATTGAACTCCGATAGAAGGTAGTCAATAGACTCTCAGCCATAGCAAATACTGTTTCAGTTTCCAAACAGCCCTCAACTCTCACACTGACAGGACACTAGCCAGATGAATACCAATGGATGCTGGTAGGCAGAGGCAGGATTTTTTTCTCCTTATTTTTGTCCTCAAAAACATAGTTTCGTAGAGAAGCACGGGTAGCGAGCTAGTTCTTTAATAAAATTTTCAACAATTTTCATTGGAACAGATATTAAGCTAACTGGACTACGGTATTCTTTATCTTCACACAATACTTTTCTAAACTTTAGGGTCACTTTAGCGTTTTTAAATCCTGGAAATGGATCCTAATTTTAAAGAAGACTTGCATTTTTAAAAAAGATTATCAATTTCATATTTAAGTTCTTAAAAGAAATTTTTCAATATTGTATGGACCTGTAGATTTATTCCTTTTAATTTGTACACTTATGAATATTTTTTTTCACCTACATTTGTTTCAGTTCATCTGGCATTCCCTCTGAAAAAAAGTAGCTTTGGCAGAGAAATCTATCCTATGACCTCAGCAATGAGAAGCAAAGCATTCAGTTTCTATGCTAATTTTCTATCTTTTAGCACACATTGTCCTGATGTTTTCTTTGCTCAAATTCCTATTTTGAAGAACTTGTTTGTTTTGTCTTAATGTTTTTAACCAGGTTCTTTTCTGCATCTTTTATTGACAGCTTGTGTTTATTTAGCCATGTTTATGAACAAGAGAGATATTTTGAAGAAAGCTTTTGTTGTAATAAAATCTCTGAGTCTGGTGATTATTCACTTCAGTTTCCTCTTGAAATGTAGTTAAGTACTTCTTGACCTGAGATGCACATTCTGGCTAATATTCTGTTACTATACTTTTAAATAACATCTGAGCATTGTGGAGAAGACTGATCTTGACTCTTCTAATTTTACCATGGCTTTTGAACTTCTTCAGTAAGTCTTCATATACATGGATGCCCAAAGTTGTGCAATATTATGATTCCAAGTGGGAGAAGAGGGAAGCCTTCTTTAGGCCTTACGCAATATTCACTAGGCACATCACCCCTTCTGAGTAACTATTTTTTAAGATGAGGCAATCCTAGTTTATAATATTTGCACCTCAGTCTGCAATTATTTAAATGAGTGTATTTGCTTGCAATAGCCTCAGCTGTTCCTAACTGGCAGTGTTAGAAAATTTCAATCCACAACTAAATTATTTATAAGGAAGGAAACTTAATCAGGTAAATATTTTTCCCTCTCCCAAAGTACCGAGGTCAGACTGAGAATACCATGCTATATAATCCTAGTATTGAAGCTAGTACTGACCCCTGTAAAAGCAACTGTGGTTGTAGCTTATTTGTATGTAGTCTGAAAGGTTGATCTAGATGGCACGAGCAGATTAATGTCCCAAAAAAATTGTTTTGAGCTGGCTTGTTTTGAGTTCTCCCTAGGACAACACAAGACTTGTCCTCATTGAGTTAGCAATCTGAATGCTGAAAATGTACTTTTTCTTCTTCTCCTAAATATACTCCATAGCCTCCCATCCTAGTCCTCATGTTCATTAGGTTTTCAGATTGAAGGAAATCTCACTAGAATATTAGGAGCAGTTTTTAAACAATTATAAGGACAGTAGTGCCAGAAAATTCTACAAGTGCTGTATTGTTAGTAACATCTATATCATCTGTTCTTGTTCCTGTTTGTACCCTTTCAAACAATTCGTGTTGGTATTCATTATGCATCCCGTATGAAGCTTGGATAAAGCATTGACCCAGAAGAGCTTCTGCCACATTATATATATAAAAGACTATTTTTCCAAGTAGGAATAGTGCAGGCACAAGAAAAATGTGCAGCTCCATTGTAATGGTAATGGCAATCTCATTTTGTCCTATCCTACACTCTACTGTAGAAAAGTGCTATAGATGCGTATGGCTGTGTATACAAAATTACTAATTGTAAGTTTAAGGTAGGAAAATCATATTACAGGGAAGTTGTTGCTTGAGAATTCAGTGCACAAGGAGCACATCATTTTTAAAATGCAGGTTTTTGAAGAACTGTCATACAAATTATGCTGTCATTGAGTAAATCATTAGCTCTTGTGGGTAATAGTTTGTAACAGTTGCTGTTGACAACAGCTTGTACTGTAATAACAGGAATCTTGTTAATGAAGTGTAGCTAAGAGATGATGTTAATATTACTTGCTTTTAAAACTTTTGTCTCCTGCCAAGGCAGAAATAATATGTTATGCACAACTTTGTAATGTAGTGTTTTTGGCATCAGAAAAAAACCCAGGAGTTTATGTTATCTCATTTAAAAACAATCTGAAGGATACTTGGGTAATTTTGAAATAGTATTTTAATCAGTGTGGTAAGAGTTCTCAATATGAATTATGCTTCAGAAACTTTGTTTACAAAAAGAACTACTCTCAAATTAATCATCTTGCTTTAATTATCTTACTGCCTCTTCAGTAGGTTTAAACTTTGTGAACCTATTCCATATACAATAAAAGAGGTATAGATGAATATTGAACACAGGTTCTTAAATACTAGGCTTCTTAAGGCAATTGTAATGTAAGCAGGGTAGGAAACATGCATTTGTTCTTAAATCACTTTCTATGTACATGAGAGCTCTATGTAAGTTAGAATCCTGACTAGGTTTTTCTGTGTATATAATAAAGGGTTTAGATCACCTGTACAAACAAGAACTTTATAAAGCATATCTTCTGAATGTATTTGTATTATATTGAATCTTGTTATATACAGCTCTTTAAAATCCACTGCTTTGTTTTACTTTTTTTATATATATTTATAGGGTTTTTACAAACAGCATCATCGTTTCAAGTGAAAGATTCACAGGGGAAACTATGCCTATCAGCCAATTTCTCCATGCGGTTCACAGTGGAGTTCATGACAAAGAGTAAACAACAGGTGAAACTACTGAAATTTAAAGAGATACTAAGAGAGCATGCTGCACAATGTTGTTAGAGCACTCTGTCTCAGTACAGATAGTCCTCAGCTTAGGACCACAGATGGAGCGAAAGAGCTGCCTGCTGGAGGATTTCAGCTCTGATCCTGCAAGCCTGCTGAAGCATGCATGCATGGAGAAGGAATCCTTCAGGGTACTGCAGGAATGGTCCTGCAGCCCACGAATCAAGTTACATTCTGTGATATCAAGTTGTTGGTACCTCTAGGATCTAATTTATTTAAAATGATAAATAGCTGTAGAATGAGTGCAGAGCTTAAACACTTCAGCTACATTACTGGAAGAGATATTTGTTATCAGTAATTATTGTCAAATTATTGTCTTAAATATATAAATAAATATACACTGTGTGCACAATTATTAGGCAAGCTGAATTTTGGAGGATTAATTTTATTATTGAACAACTACAATGCTCTGTCAATCCAAAATGTTGTTAAACCTCAAACATGAGTATTTAACAGTGGGATTATGGTTTTCTTGGGAGAATATATATGTGCACAATTGTTGGGCAACTATTAGTACGCACAATTATGCAATTAAATGAAAAATGAAAATTTTCCCATCTCATTTTCATCTGTTAAATGAGAATAATAAAAAAACTCAAAGTTTACAAATAAACATTTCTGATAGTTCAAAAAAAAAAGTCAGTGACCAATATAGCCAATAAAAGTCAAAGCTTTCCATTCATGGAGTTTGTCAGTTTCTTATCTGTTGATGACCAACTTTTTGTGCAGCAGCAAACAAAGCCTCCCAGACACTGTTCAGAGAGGTGTACAGTTTTCCTTCACCGTAAATCTCTCGTTTAAGAACGGCCCACAAGTTCTCAATAGGGTTTAGGTCAGGTGAGGAAGGGTTCCATGTCCTTATTCTTTCATCTTTAAGGTCTTTATGTCTCCATGCAGTGGAGTACTTTTATGCATGCGATGGAGCATTGTCCTGCATAAAAATCATGGTTTTGAAAGATGCACTTTTTCCTGTACCACTGCTTGAAGAAAGTCTCTTCTAAAAACTGGCAGTAGGTTTGGGAGTTAGTTTTGAGTCCTCGTCAACCTGTAAAGGTGACCTGTGCAACTTGCTCATCTTTCATAATACCAACCCATACCAGTATCCCATCACCACCTTGCTGGCGTCTGAGTTGAAGTGGAGCTGTGTGTCTATTATTGATCCAGCCACAGGCCCATCTATCTGGTCCGTCAAGAGTCACTCTCATCAGTCCATAAAACCTTTGAAAAATCTCTCTTCAGATATTTCTTGGGCCAGTCTTGGAGTTTCAACGTATGTATCTTGTTCAGTGGTGGTCAGATTTCAGCCTTCCTTACCTTGGCCATGTCTCTGAGCACTGAACACCTTGTACTTCTGGGCACACCGGGTAGGTTGCAGTTCTGAAATATGACAGCCCTGGAAGATCATGGGTTCCTGTTTCCTGTTTGATTCTTCTCAAATCTTTGGCAGTTAAGGTGCATCTTTTTTTCTCAACACGTTTTTTGCAACCCTGTTGATTATTTGCAACAAAACATTTGATGGCTGTGTGATCAGGCCGCAATATCTTAGCAATTTCAAGAGTGCTGCATTCCTCTGAAAGACTTTACAATTTTGGACTTTTCAGAGTCAGTTAAATCTCTTTTTTAGGCCATTTTGCCTGAGGAAAAGAAGCTGCCTTATAATTATGCACACTTTGATATAAAGTGTTGATCTTAGACCACACTCTCCCTCGTTGCACAAATACACATTACCTGACATGCTTATGCCAACTTTATACAGCTTGGAGGTGGAAAATATGCATACAAAGGACGATATGGTCAAAATACTCAACTTGCCTAATAATTGTGTACACAGTGTAAACATTTCTGATGATTATTCCTTGCCTCTGCACCTCCTAAGAAAAGCTGTTTAGTATAAAATTAAAATTAAATAATGAGTGATTGAAAAGTTTTGCTCAAGAACCATCTCAATTCTGTATATCTAGAATGGAGGTATATGTCAAGGCTGCTCTAAATACAGGGTATGTGTTAATCTTGTATGATGAAGGAATTACGTGTCTGAAATACTCATTATCAATGAGCATATAAAAATATTAAAAATTGATTTACTGGTTTGAGATTTGGCAGTTTTGTGTATAGATCCATATTTACCCATGATATTCTGCACAGGGTTGTTGTGGGGGAAAATAGGCGGGAAATGTGGTAGATGTTTGTCACCTTGAGTTATGTGAAAAAATAATAAAGGTGGGATACAAAGTAAATACATATTTGTTAGATCATCTTTTATAAATTATTTGTGGCCTTTCCACTCAAATGAATATGTAATAATCTGTTATATATTACTGTGGACTTCTTGAAGGATGTTCACTTCAAACATGAGCTAAAATCGGGAGATTGCATATTAAATCTACAGATGTTAAATATAAATAATCTCTTATGTCTATTAGAATGCAACCTTTATACTTCCACCTGATGCTCATGTAATAGAGGAAGCTAGCAAGTGTGGCAAGAAGGAAGCACCTGAAGAAATTCTTGTAGTTGGATTTGGCAAAGGACATTCATTAAATATGACATTTGAGAAGAATGAGTCTCTCTATTATGTGGTCAGTGCTTTGGGGTTCAAATTCAACTTGAATGATTCTTCCATTTTCCCCAATTCATCTGGAGGTAAGTGGTTTTATTTTTAAGGTTTTCAAAATCCACTGCACAGGATGGTACAATGGGTAAAGGTGTTGGATTAGGAATAGAAGATTTTGGGGTACTAATCCATCATGAGTTTCAAACACTCCCTGGGTGGCTTTGGACTAATCTTTTACAGTCTTGGCCCAACTTTTCTGCTTTATGAGGGGAAAAGTAGGAGGAGAAAGCATTGTATGGAAGGTGGGGTATAATGTCTAATAAATAATAGCGCTGGGTTCCATTTGTATAGAATTCTCTGAAGAATCTTAATCTGTTTCTTGTCACAGAACTAACAGAAGTAAAAAAGGGAACTGATATTCAAGCAGACTTAAATACAAAATATTTGTGCCATAGCAACAATTCAATAACTGCAGGAAAAGTGTTTGTTCTTCTTAGTAATGTTGCAGTTGAAGCATATGTTACAAATAACACCCTCAGTAAGAAAGGTAAGTACTTCTAAAGAGTAACCACACTAAGTTAAGTCTTTCTATTCAGTCTAAGTCTAGCACTGAGTCTTATCCACTTTCATCTTAAACTATTTTGACATTTGTAATTGTTTTAATAACATGAACTTCTAAGAAAAGAACACATTGCAGGCTTAGTAGAGTGCTGGATTTCACTGAATCATCGTGTAATTTTAAAACATTTTAAAAATTACTATTGTTGGGGCAGCTGCACTTGTGGGGTTATATGTGAGTGGCATATTTAGGGGTGCATTTAAAGATAAAAGGAGCAGATTCTCCCTTTCTGTCACATTTTTAAAATTCCAGTTTGGTGATTGTTAAAGGAGCCCTGTGGTTCCATCCATTGTTTTGGGGCATTCTATTAATGTTTAAGTAGGGATTTCTCCTGGACATTGGAAGTAAGCAAGGGGTTCATAATTTTTCAATAAAGTGTTCCAGCCTTGTGATTTGCAGTTGTTGCTTTTTAGAAACAATTTGTTCTGAAGACAGAAGTCCTACTACTGCTCCAGTAATCCCTACTCACCAATCATCAACTCACACACCTTCAACTACTGTTGTTACAACTACCAGTGTACCACCCTCATTAAAACCAGAAGTTGGACAATACAGTGTAAATGGTACATCTGGGACGTGCTTACTTGCTTCTATAGGTCTACAACTTAATCTCACCTACACTGCACAAAATAAGGTATATATACTTTAATATGCTTTTACACTTTCCAAAAGTGTAACTAGAGCATCTTTTTAAAGTCAGTATTGTTGCTATTCTTCTCATTACTCTGAGTAGTAGTTCTAGCGTGTGTTTGTGTTACATATACCGTGTTTCTCACAAAATAAGGCCGGGCCTTATTTTTTTTTTGACCCCGGAAAAAACGGCTAGGCTGTCTTTTTGAGGGTGACTTAATTTCCTCCCCCACCATGCGCACGTACCTCTCCACGAGGCCGTTTCTATCGGCCGACGAAAGCTCCCCAAAGGCAGAGTCACCAGACGCTTTGGCCGTGGCTGCCCACGTCCCCTCGCCATGAGGCAGTGTCTTTTTGGCGATGGAAGCTCCCCAAGGGCAGTCACCAGCCACTTCAATCGGTCGGTAGAAGTGAGCACCCACGCACACTCCTCTTGCCCCAAGGCCGCTTCTACTGGCCGATCGAAGTGGCTGGTGACTGCCCTTGAGAAGCTTCCATCGCCCAAAAGACACTGCCTCGTGGCGAGGGGATACGGGCAGCCACACCTCGCCCCGAAGCAGCTGGTGACTCTGCCTTCGGGGAGCTATCATCGGCCGATAGAAACGGCCTCGTGGCGAGGGGAGTGGTGCGTGGGCGCTCGCCCTGAGGCCGCTTCTACCGGCCGATCAAAGCGGCTGGTGGCTCTGCCTTCGGGGAGTTTCTATTGGCTGATGTTCTATCGGTAGTAGATCGGGGTATTCTTGCCTAGGCTACCTGCAGGGCGCTCCTAAAGGCAAGTTTTCTCCCCATCCCCCCACCCTTCCCCCCCATTTCTCCTCACCTCGTGTAGTTCTAACGAACGATGTGAGAAATGGTGGGGAAATGCATGGTTTAAATAGGCCTAAATTTTGGGGGCGGGGCTTAATTTCACCTCATGCCTAGAAATCATGCTGGGCCTTCCTATTGGTGGAAGCCGTATTGTTGGAGAAACACGGTAGTATATCTTAATAAGATAGCTTTGAAAAGTTTATTTTCAACTTTAAAACAAAAGTTTTAATCATACTACAATCTTAGAATGGTTTCGACTGTGAATATTTTAAAAACCTTTAATCAGACCACACTGTTATTATAAATAATTGTGAGAAGTATAACAGTTCTTTACTGTTTGGATAAATACAATTAAGCTAAAATAATATGTAATGATAATTGCTACTTTTTCTTCTGTGTGAAGTTTAAACTTTCTATCACAATGTTTTTTTTTTAAAGAGTGTTCTTTCAAAAGTGTTGAATATTCCAGCAAATGCAGTTTCTTCTGGGAAGTGTGATAACATGACAGTTATTTTAAATTTAACTTCTGGGAACACCAAAATTTCTCTCAGTTTTGCACAGGTAAGCATAATTCAATGTATAGCATGTTAAGTAAGCACATGACTTTAACTTACAACTTCCTGCCAGTTTTCGGCACGCAGTCAATGGGGAAACCAGCAGGAAGTCATAAGTCCTGGGAAGCTTGCAAGTCGACCAATGGAGAAGTTATTTTCACTGAGTGCAACTCTATGGGGAATTGCTATAGTGGTCTGGCATACATAAGCACCGCCAGGCAGGGGGAGGTGGCTGCTGCAGAGGGAAACTGTACAGGAAAGTGGAGGGAGCAAGTTCAACCTTCTCTGCCCCATTGATTATGTTTTGGGGGAAACTGGCAAGGAAGGTTGCAAATGATAATAGCAGGATGCTGCAATCAACACAAGTGTGAGCCAGTAGCCATGCCCTTGGATTATGATCACATGATTGATTGAGGGTGCGGCAATGGCTGGTATTTGGAGGATCAGTTGTAAGTACCACTTATTCTGCATCATGATAACTTTGAACAGTCATTGAATAAGTGGACTTTTACCAAAGATTATCTGTAAGGTATAATTTAAAGTCTGTCTACAGATAACTAGAGGTTCTTAATCTGCAGATTGTATGGTAGTATATTTCAAATATAATTTTTCAAACTTCACACATTTGGTATGTTTCCTCTGAATTAAAAACTGCAAAGTATTTGAAGTGCAAACATTTAAGTAGCTTTTGTTAAAGAAAAATGAAATTAATAAGTCATTAAATGTTTTTTTTTAAGAATTCAAGTATTGAGAAGTACTTCCTGCATGGCATCCACGTGAGCGCAGATCTTCCTTCTGAAGCTACAGGTAAGAATTCAATTCCTTTATAAATAATGTTCTAAAGGTTTGAAAAATGCATAGTGTGTTTTAAAAGTTGAAATTCCTTTCACATTTCCTAAATTAGCACTAATATACATTATTTATTCCTTTTCTCCAAATGGTCTACCAAATCGTTTAAAAAAAACCCCAAGTATTTAAGCCATAAGCATAAGGCTTTTGATCAAAGTGTCAGTCATGATTTGATGGGTTCTTTCTAAATAAACAGATGTCTTTTGAAAGTACTGTTTGATGGAGGGCTGAACAGCAGCAGCAATGGTTGATGCTCACTTTTAGTTCAGTTCTACATCTTGCTCAAAGTTGCTTTTAATTTGGATTGTTTCTGTAAATCTTTTGCAGAAAAAAGTATCAGTGTTGTCAACAATAGCCTAAGTGCCCTAAAAGCTACAATTGGAAAATCTTACAAGTGTGTGGCAGAAGAGATAATTCAGGTTTCAGACAAAGCTGCTCTCAATATGTACAATGTTCAAGTTCAGGCTTTCAAGATTGCAGGATTCAAATTTGGAGCAGGTAAGGTTATGAATACAGATTTAAAACCTAGCTTATTGCAAATATGCGTTCCTAAGAAGCAATTGAAATACTTTGTTTAAATGTATTTTTAAGCAATTTAGGCCCATGTTTTTTCAAAACTGTTGAAAAATGTGCTCCAAGAGTCAACACTGCAATTCCTGTGGCATGTAGACAAATTTTACATTAAAAAAAATAAAACAGAATGGGAAATTGAAATTAATACCCATTTGATTTTTCTCTTGAGAGATGACACATGTTTATGGTAAGTAAATATCTCTTTGCCATTTCAAATTGGAAACTAACTCTGTGCCTGGTTTCTTCTGGAAGGTAGAATCTGTGGCCAGGTAGAAAACTTCAATTTTTGAAAATCAAAATAAATTATTTTATATGGCAGAACTGCCTAAAGCCGAGATAAGGATTTCTACCACTAGGATCATTAGAAAATTATACATTTTATTTGATCATTGGCAAGTGAAGTGTCAAATTGCATTTCTTTAATTTGAATGGAGATGGCTTTTTTCCAAACAGATAACTAACTCCTAGGCTGGTTTTACATATTGCTTTAAGGTAGGGGTCACCAACCTTTCAGACCTGAGAGACCACTAAATTCATAATTTTAAATCCCACGGACCACTAATGGTTTTTTTAAAAGATAAGTAGTATTTAGTGCAATATAAAAAATGCAAATAATTTTTCTGCGGACCATCAAAATTTTCTTGTGGACCACCTGTTGGTGACTGCTGCTTTAAGGCATACAATTTGTTTGTCCTAATATTATGGGAGTACTGCTTTATTCATTGATTATAACAAATCATATTCTCTCAGGTGGTAATTTTTACATCTAATGTAATAAATAGTATTTGTAGTTTGGGTTCAGTCAGATAAAGACAAATTATAATACTCTTTGAAAGAATTACATTGTACTTGTCTTGCCCTTTTATCTATTTAAAATTGAATTAAATTTATTCATTTTTCTTTCAGTGGAAGAATGTCAGCTGGATGAAAATAACATGTTGATTCCTATTGTAGTTGGTGCAGCGCTTGCTGGACTTGTCCTTATAGTGTTGATTGCATATTTAATTGGCCGAAAGCGTAGCCATGCTGGTTATCAAACAATTTAATGATTTGCACTGAATTAAACCAGCATGGAAGAACAGCAGTTGCAAGAAGCAGAAAATTGATTCCCCTCCCCCATCTTCTCCTCAATTAGATTTATGAGGGAGCACAATCTTTTCCTTACAACTGTTTCTTGCAGTATCTGCTTTACTAAATGTGAAATCCATCTTGTGGCATTTAACCATGCACAAAGGGTAACTTTAGTTCTGTTTAATTTTGCTAATGGGTTAAATATTTGCCCATCTAGAAACAGGCTGAAATTTTATGAATGCTTTTCTGAATTGGCATGGTTTATAATGTCAACTACTTAAATGAGGATATAGTTACTTCATACTCCACTTAAATTCAGATTAATTGTGTTTAACAAAGGGAAATTTCCACTTTCTGGTACTACCAACTTGTGCTGACCTATGTTTTACTGCATTTACAGTAATGATTGACCAACCAACCTCTGCTATTCCCACTTTGCCTCTACCTAGGTGTGTATCATTAATCTTTAAATGCTAAGCTTGGTATATGCAAAGTGTGAAAATAAAATGTGGCTAACTCTTGATATATTTTTTGGTCTGTCAGCTTAGTAGGAGCTGGCCCTTTTTTACATGAAAATGGGTGTTACTTTATTTTTGGTAAAGTGAATTTCAGTCTCTTTTGTTGGAAGTTCAAAGGAGATCCTGTTTCTGCACATGTGTACAATAAATTTCAATCTGCTAATTCTTGCTTTGACTCTGGCTGGGACTGTACACTGCAAGGATCAGTTATGAATGCATTGCCTGTAACAATGCTAATAAAGACTTTTCTGTATGTTCTCAGTGTTCTTTTAAGCAATTACAAGGCTGCTTTGATTTTGAAGTAAATTAAGCTTGTTTGTAAAGTTTGGAGGATAACTATTACCTCAGATTCTTAGTTGTAAACTATAAGCCTAAAATATTATTCCATGTTTTGCATTTCAAATAATCTTCCTTCAGTCCTTGACTTTTTTCCCCTTTAGAGAAAGGGGGTGGAGGAATTTGCCATTAAACAAGTGGGTCTGTGTTTATAAAATTTCCCCGTCACACCTGGACCTGAGCTTGCTATAGATTTATCCATAGATATTTCCCACAATGCCACAGCAAGCTAAAATGTTACAAAGTAGTAGATTGAATAAGAAAAAAAAACACAACTTGATTATTATTCCTTGACAGAATAACTTCCCATTAGCAGCACATGGGAATACATAGGAGACTGTAGCTGTTGTACAACTGACAGTTCTGGGATGAAGTAGATTATTCAGGGCAAAACTTCACATAAAGCATTTTGCTCACTACAGTTGCATGCAGAAAAGTAGAAACAAACAAAAATTGTTTTCTAATTTTCTGTGTAACTCCTGGTGTTTTTGATTCTATCGAAGTTCACTATTCAGAACATAAGCGTGTGTGTGTATATAAATATTAATCTCATTTAGCAGAGCCAGACAACAGGAAAAGGTAGATACGCTATTCTTAAAAAAAAAAAAGAGAGATTAACTGGAGCACTTGTTTTCTAAATAAGGATCTCTAAGTCCAGAGCCTAAACATCGTTGAGATTAAAAAAATGATAGCTTCAAATATACTTTATTATATAGTTTTGTATATTGTTATCACAAAATTGTCTGAAAATATATAGTCCATTTGTTGAAAAGGGATTACATCTACATTACATTTTATTTACATAATAAAGTGTTTGTGCTTTTTTTGAAAAAAAAAATCCCATTGTACATGTGAAAGGCTGGAGCTAATGAGTGAAGTGTCAATGGCAGCCTGAGGAAAAATTATCTGAGCAAGTGAGGGAATGTTCATTTATACTGAAGCAGTCAAATTTGCTCTACATGAATCTCGTAGTTTGTTTATTGTAGCCATTCGCAGACTTCCAGGTTCCGTAAATATTTTCTAGGATTAAAAATTAAAGTATTAGCATATACTACAATGCAAAGAAATATCTAAAAGTGTGCTTCGTGGTACAAAGCAAGCAGAATCACACTGATCAGAAAATACAATGAGTCAAATCCCTCTTTCTAGAATGGGATGCATCAATTATTAAATAATTATAAATTATTAAACTTATAAGGTTCCATCCAGATTGTTACACATGAGCATTAAGAAATATTGAATATTCGTTTGCAGTATATTAGAACATGAAAATTAATGGATCAAATCAATTTGGTCAGATAGATATAGGGCTAATTTTTCTCCATAGCTAAGTTTCCATGTTTAGACGCAGTCTACTTCTAAATGCCAGTTAAATTTATGCTGTAGTTGTAACTTTCTCAAGGTAATCAGGCTGGCCAAAAATTAGATGGGCCTTAGAACCGACACCATCAAAAGTTTAGAGAATTTATATTTGACCCTAGATATTTTTAGTTAATTCAGAATAAGGAATTGTGCTTGGGAATAATTGGAATACTGTCTTACATTTTAAAATATTGAGTCGTGTCCCATCCCGTCCCCCCCAAAAAAACCACTCTATAAAGCAGGGGTGTCAAACTCACAGCCCACAGGCCGGCTGTGTCACATACTGGCTCCGCTCCCGCCTGGGGAAGGTTTAGCAAGGTGAGGAAAGTCCCGATACGTCATATGACACACCGTGACGACACAAGTTTGACACCCCTGCTATAAAGGAAACAAAGCAGCAATCTTATGCATGAAAACTCCTAGCTTTCAGAATGAAAATGAAGACATTGTCAATATCCATAAAATCATATATGGTTAATATGGCATGTAGGAATTTTTTTTTCTTCAGAATGAATAATTGGGGATTATCCACTAAAACTAAATAAAGGGAGATTCAAGATTTAAAGATCATTTAAACCAGGGGTCCCCAACCACCAGTCCGTGGACCGGTACCGGTCCGTGGAACAAGTCCTACTGGGCCGCTGGCTTGCTGTGCGCCGCCATCTTGTTTTGATGAAAAAGTGCTTCCGGTGAGCTTTTCCGGGTAGAAAGCTCACCGGAAGCACTTTTTCATCAAAACAAGATGGCGGCGCACAGCTGATGTAGGTACCGGGCCGCGCCATAAAAAAGGTTGGGGATTACTGATTTAAACAGCATATTGTTCAATTGTTGAGTTTGCTCACATCAATTGCAGTGGCCACCAGAAAACATCGTAGGAGGGAAATTAGACAAATTTATACAAATCAGTCTATTGGTAATTACTAAACTGGATGGTTGTATCTTGACTCAAAAGGCAGCATATTTTAAATATCAGCTGCTGGACAATAAGACTGTTCCTCACTTGTCCTTGTCTGGAGATTTAATTTGCCAGTGAGATAGGATGGGGGACTGAAGGGATCTTTGGTATACTCTAAGGCTCAAAAGCTTATAGAAAAGGAGAATGTCTCAGCTTTCCAGAGATTTAGTATTATTCAATATTTATGAAACATGGGGCTGCCCCTCATCTGTTACACAATTTATATGGCTGTTCACATTATGTGAAACTAATTGAAACTAAGATGACACTTAACATTCCTGGAGAAAATCATGAATATAGATGAATGATGGGCTTTACTGACACAAAGTGACTTTTCAAAAGTAAGGGCTCTTGTAGGGTTAAACATAGTTCCAGAAGTTCCATAGAAAGAATACCAATAAATGTAAAATGGGATCTACATTTCCATTATCTATTTTCTGTATAGCCTTACCTGTTTTGGTTATGCAGAGGTGAAAGGAACTGGATGACTACAATGCAATGGATCATTTCCAACATGATCTGTGTCCACTGCCAAGAGTTTGATTTTGATCTGCTCAAGGTTGACTCACCTTCCATCCTTCTGAAGTCAATAAAATTAGGATCCCAGATTGTTGGAAGCAATATGCTGACTAAACTGCTTAGAGAGTGCTGTAAAGCACTCTGGACTGGTATACAAGTGCTATTGCTAATATTATTTTGGGGCAGGATGATAGTTGAGCCTGTTGGATGGAGCTGTTTTGTTTTACATATTTGTCTTGAAATAAATTCATTATCTCTGTTTTTTGGTATTTTGTTTTTAACTGTGAGCCCCCCAGAGTTGTTGAGCATTGTGCAACCTACACATTGTATAACTAAATACAACATATTTTTAAAATGTTGAAACATATTTAATAAAGCCTACTTAAACAATCTTATGAACAACACTATCAATACACAATTTTTATAGCAGATTTATAGTTTTCTAAAATGACACCCACCTGCATAAATATATGACATTCTGTTACAAATGCTCCTGTAGTAATCTGCTTAAATTTTTCACAGATTTCAGGAAAATTTGTAGCTTCCAAAATGAAATCTTGATGTTGCTTAATTAATGTTAAGGCCACGCGAAATATTATTTTTGATCCTTCATAAAACAAACAGTCCCAAATTCGGAGCACAGTCTGTAGAAGAATGAAATTAGTTACTGAGTGTATGAAACAAATGCACTAGAATTTGGATAATTATGTAAAAGGCAATTCAAGTTAGTGTCAGTTCTCACTTGCCTCTACTGGAAGAATGTCAATGAACAAGCATATAAACCAACGGGATGCCACCAAAGTCCACAAGTTGCCATGTTTTTCCATTAATTCTGCCACAGCTGGAATCTTCATTTTCACAAGGAATCCAAGAACATCTTGATCTGTTTTCAGACCCATCATTTCGGGACTATAGTAATCTTCAGAAAGATGAAATGAAAACTTATGTCATCACAATGCGATATATATATATTGCGGGTATTTGTATGTGGATCTTTGGTTATTCGGGTTTTCTCCCATGTAAAATTGGAAGTATCTAGGCGACGTTTCGATGAAGTCTCATTCATCATCTTCAGGCTTGTGTCTTCGTCTTTGTGCTTCTCAGAGTAATGTGAGCTTGCAGCTGCTTCTTCCTTTTAACTGCTAGTGGGGGTGTGACTTGATTGGG